CACAGCTCTGAGGAAAGGGACTTGTCCCCGAAACGCGTCAGTGGGCGGACCACACTGACAATCGGAACACCCTGTCCACTGCTGTGGCCATCTCGATTCTCATATTAAGTAGTAATGCAACACTGTATCCAAATTAATTTTATATCATTTCTAAAATTTAAATAACTGTATAATTTATATTTAATAAGCACTTGGCTGTTTAAAATGTTTTCTATATAAATTTAGACAAAGACCAAAACTGCTCTGTTTCTGTTACAAAAATATAACAACAAAATGCAGGAGCAGTATGAACACCCCCAAAATGACCCCTTTTTTAAAGTAGACACCCCAAGGTGATGTCATTTAGCCACATTTAAGAAGTATTCAGGTAGCAAGGTGAACCTTTAAAACCCACCCACTGAAGCCAAGTGCAAGTCTTTTGTTATTAGTGGAAGAAAGTTCCATAAAGGATGAAATTGCATTGTGTGCATTGGCTAGATGTAATGGATAAACCCAAAAAAATGTAACCCATTCAAAACTATCACACTATTATTGGTGGTTAGCAGCACTTTAAAACCACCTCCCAAACAATCCCACAAACAATGGTGGTCAGTGACATTTTAAAAAAGATCTTCCCCTCCCCTATAATTGCTTTTCATTGCACTTCCAATTCTCCTCAAAACAATCCCACAACATTGGTTGCTGGTCCTTTAAAAAAATGCAGCATTTCATATGAAGCCAGGGGAACTGCAACTCCCTCCTCACTGGCCTGCCTCCCCGCTGGTTATCCCCACTTCAGTCGATCCTGAATACGGCTGCCAGACTCATTCACCTTTCCAACCGCTCCATCTCCGCCACCCCCCTCTGCCAATCCCTCCACTGGCTTCCTATTGCGCAACGGATCAAATTCAAAATCCTAACACTGACGTACAAAGCCGTCCACCATACTGCCCCGAACTACATCACTGACCTAATATCCAAGTACCACCCAGCACGCACACTCCGCTCCTCACAAGACCTCCTTCTCTCTAGTTCCCTGGTCTCCTCCTCCCATGCCCGCCTCCAGGACTTCTCCAGGGTGTCACCCATCCTCTGGAACTCCGTGCCCCAACCCATCAGATTATCACCTACTCTCCTCTCCTTTAGGCGCACCCTGAAAATCCATCTCTTCAGGGAAGCCTACCCCACCCCCTGCTAACTTGCCGACCTCCTCCACTCTTCCTACCACTCCATCCCCCACAGCTATCTCTTCCTGTACCACCATCCCCTCCCTCCTAGGATTGTAAGCTCGAAAGAGCAGGGCCCTCGATCCCCTCATGTTTTGCATTGTATTGTTATTGTTCTGTCCCCCTTTGTAATGTACAGCGCTGAGCGAACTATTGGCGCTTTATAAATACTGTATAATAATAATAATAATTTTTACCACCTCCCCAACCTGCAAATGTAGCTGGATAGGGTGGTGCACATGCTGTGCAATGATGCTTTACAAAATGTAATCCTCATTACTGCCGCTGAACACAACCCATTCAAGTGAATGGGGCCATACTACAACTGCCCTTCAACCGTGTACAATGCACACAGTTGCAGAGCAGTGCTGCAGCATTTAGTGTCAGTTCACATACAGTGCTCAGCATAAATGAGTACACCTCTTTTGAAAATTAAGATTTTAATCAATATCTCAATGAAAACAAGAACTATTTCCAGAATTTTGAAAAAACTGAGTTTTATAGAATATTTGTTTAGCTCATTACATGAAGTAAGGTTAATAACATAACTTATAACTATAGATTACAAAATCTTCAGTTTTGCTCAAATTAGTTGATGCAAAAATGAAGACACTCCACAACAAAAACTACTCCATCTAGTATTTTGTATGGCCTCCATACAGGGACAGCACCAAGTCTTCTAGGCATGGGATGAACAAGTTGGCGACATATTGCAACATCTATCGTATTCCATTCTTCAAGAACAAATTCTTTTAGAGCCTGGATGCTGGGTGGAGAGTGATGCTCAACCTGTTGTCTCTTCAGAATTCCCCATAGGTATTCGATTGGGTTCAGATCAGGCCACTGAATCACTTTCACCTCATTCTTCTTCAGAAATGTGAAGGTGGCCTTAGATGTGTGTTTTGGATCATTGTCTTGTTGGAAAAGTGCACTACAACCAAGGACATGGAGTGATGGTGACATCTGCTCTTTCAATATAGAGCAGTACATCTGTGAATTCATGATACCATCAATGGAATGCAGCTCCCTGACACCAGCAGCATTCATGCAGCCCCACAGAAGGACACTGCCACCACCATGTTTCACTGTAGGCACCATGCATTTTTCTTTGTACTCCTCACCTTTGTGGCGCCGTACAGTTTTTAAGCCATCAGTTCCAAAAACATTTATCTTGGTCTCATGACTCCAGAGTACAGAGTCCCAGTAGTCTTCTTCTTTTTCAGTATGGGCCCTGGCAAATTCTAGGCTGGCTTTTTTTTTGCAAGGCTTTAGGGGAGGCTTCCTTTGTGGATGACACCAATGCATGCTATTCCTCTGCAGTGTATGCCATATTCTGTCATGGGAAACAAACAACCGAGTTTGGCTATCTACTTCTTTAGCTAACTGCAGTGAACATGCATGGCGATTTTCTTCAATCCTTCTCATCAGAAGACGCTCCTGTCAAGGTGTTAACTTCTGTGGACGGCCTGGATGTCTCTGTGAGATGGTTGCAGTTCCATCTCTGTTAATTTTTTAAATTACTTTTGCTACAATATTATGACTGATAAGTAAAGCTTTGCTGATCTTCTTGTAGCTTTCACCTTTCTTGTGTAAAGAAATTCTTTTCTTTCTCAGGCCTTGTGACATTTGTCATCCATGTGATGCCTTTGCAGACAGCATATAAAGGTGTCTGCTGGACACCTGTTTAATGAATAATTAGACTCACCTGTAGTTGAATTCTTGTTAATTAGGATTTTGTTGTCTAAAATTTTGCTTTGCTCCTAAGACTTTCATTGGGGTGTATTCATCTTTGCAAAATGGTCATAAATGCATTTGTTAGGAAAAATACTTTTTTGTGTGTGCAAATGAACAAATCTTTTTTGCAATCAAATGGCCAGCATTTGTGGGAGTAATTTGTAGTATATTGTCCCATAGAGAATGTTGATTCTGAAAGGAAAGTAAAGGTTTTCTGACAAATCTGTTGGTGTGGACCCATTTATGCTAGGCACTGTATATGCAAATTGGATGCAGTTTGAACCACATCCAATCCGCATGACATGTGAAAAAACATTGCCTATGGTGCCTGTTCACATATGCCTGGTGCACTGGCAGTGTGCAGTTTAAAAAAGAGTCATGTATGATTTCTGAGCAGTGCCTTCAGGTTCAGGTGCGGATTACAGGCTATTGACTTCTATGGGAACCATTTCTAAACCCCATATGTGTGAACAGGATAAAATCCTGAGCTAATCTTGTCTTGAACCTGATGTAAACCTGACCTGAACCGCTGAACATCTACTGTATCAATTAGCTGTGACACCAGAGCTTCAATCCTGACCGCACATGTGAATCAGCTCTTATAGGGTTAAAACCGTCATAGTGCTTCACCAATGTCTGTCAAAAGCCTCCGAAAAGCAGTTCACTGTGAACAGGTAGGATTTTTATGACAGAAGGGACCCTATTGGTCTCTTCTGTCATACCTGCTCCTTCCTGCCCGTTAGCATTAATATAAACTGAGCTGTGCATTTTGGGGGATATGATGCCTACTTATCACTTGTCTTAACCCAATAAATGCTGCACCAGCATGCTACAACTGCACGCACTGCACACAGTTGTGGGTCATTTGTGGAGTGTTTGAATTCGCTTGCATGGGTTGTGTTTGACAGCTGTAGTGTTCGAGTCAACGGGGGGATCATTTTTGTTGCCAAAGAACCACGATAATAGCATATGAACAACCCTGTCTGCTGCCTTTGCAGCTTAAAGCGGAGTTCCACCCCAAAGGGGAAATTCTGCTTTAATGCTTTGTCACCCGCTCCCCATTAAGGATTGACAACTTTGGGGAGGGGCACCCAAATTTGACAGGTACCCGCTCCCACTTCTACTGCAATCGCCTAGGTGAACAGAAGCGGAAGTTGTCCTCCCTCCCCGTAGTCTATTGGGACACGTGACAGGTCCCAGAAGACTACGGGGCCATTCACAAATTGCAGCGCTTCTCGCGCATGTGCAGTGGGCACCTGGTTGTGAAGCCGCAAGCTGTCACAGCCGGGTGCCCACACTAAAGATGCCGGCGCCAGGGAGAGAAGACGGCCGGTGAAACCAGCAGTAGGGAGCACACTGCTGGACCAAGAGACAGATAAGTGTCTGTATTTCAAAAGTCAGCAGCTACAGTTTTTGTAGCTGCTGACTTTTTTTTTTTTTCCAGCTGGAACTCCGCTTTAAGGGGTGGGGGTGACACTAAAAACATGGCTCAACACTGTTGTAAAGCCCCCCATCTGCAAGTCTAAAGAAGCCCCTGAGGATGCATTTGTACATGCCTTTTGCCACGGTGCGATTTTCTACTGATTCCTGCTGCTGGGTTTGAAAGCTGTGGGCAGGTTCGGTAGACACTGAAGTCAGCTCACAGCTGTCAAACTCAGAAGCAGGAATCAGTAGATTATTACTGCTGGAATTCACACTGCAGCTAAACTCCATGAGAATGCAGTCTAATGCAGGCCATACATGGGTCAAATTCCCAACGACTTTTCTTTAGAAAAACAGAACTTTTGTGCATTTTGTAATCTGATGTTGCCACCATTGATTTCGAAATTCAACCAACCAACCATAATTTCACCTCATGCTGCTACAGAAAAGAAATTTCATGGCCACGAATTTTCTATTCTTTCCAGGTCACAGCTCATGTTCTTTTCTTTTTCATTTATATTTCTCACACGATTCTCCCATCATTGATTCGAAATTCGTACGTTTTTCAAAACATTTACAACATGCCTGATCACTCAAACTCGATGGTTACACAAAAATCGGCCATTGTTGTGGCCCAGTAGCCTCCCTGGCGGTATTCCGAGTGTAGCTCGGGGTAAAGTTTCAGTACCACAAGCGGTAACCCCGAGCTACACTCGGGCTTACCATGCGGCGCTGCTCCGGGATCCCTTGGTCACTTACCTTGTCCTGCGCTCCCGCGATGTCCCTCCTGCAGTGTCCCCAGCGGATGCCGGCATCTATCTTCTGGGTTCCGTCCCCTGCGAGCGTCGGGACGTACGGGGGACGGAACGGCGGGAAATTTGAAAATGACAAAAAGTGACATTCACTAAATACACTAAAATCACATAGTAAAACATTACTGTACCAAACCATTTCACATACATTTTGTCCCGAGTGCTTTGTCCGGCACCCTGCCTGCATTTTTACTGTTCTTTCTGCCTGGAAACTGAGAAAAGTCCATGGCGTCCAAAAAGTGTCCCTTTAGGTCAAAAGCGGTTTTAGACCGGCTAGAGAACAGCGATAGTAAATCAGAACCACTTGCAGAATTGAGTGATAATGATTCGTGGGGAAATTCGTCATCAGACACTGAAAACGATTTTACGACTTTGCTCAGTGATGTGTGAACTTGGCGCTATATTTAAAATTTCAGTGTTTTTGGTTTGATTATATTATTGAATTAAATTTATTATTATATTACTATTTTTTATGATTATTTATTAAATTATAATTTATGATTTTGCGTTTCAAATTTTATCATACCCGGGATGTTTACTAGACTCTTGTTCGGACAGATTTCAGTGAGTTATTCCTAAAAATTACAGGCCTACAATATAAAACGCCAAATTTCCATGCAAAATAATGGTACCGCTTTCAGCACCAAAAATCTGAAATAATCGTACTGCCAGGGAGGTTAATGGTGTGAAATTCAAACGAAAATTCTTAGAAAAGATTTTCAAAAGAAACTTCTTTCGGAATTTGACCCATGTATGGCCGGTTTAACTCTCCATGTAGCAGGGGTGTGGCAGAGGTGTGGCAGAGGTATAGCAGAGGTCTGTCCTTTACCTATATACTTTTTGCTAATGGGTGCTGTCATTCACATCTCAGAAAAGAAACTTGGAAGGTATAGTATTGTACGGGTTGGGTTATTTACTTGACTCCCCACCGACAGGAGTTGGCTGAAAATTCCAGTTTAAAAAATTCTAGTTTTGGGGAATAATTGCAAGTGTGTTTATTCGTGTTTAGAGATGCATAGTGTTTCAAAGTATATGCACATAGTCTCATTCTAGGGGTAGTATATTTATTTATTCTAGCCACTCAAATTAATTTGCACACATATGTTTGCATTTGCATGCACTTATGTGCGTTTATATGCATATGTGCATACATTATGCCAGTAAGCTCCTCTCTGAACACAGGTTTGAAGGCATTCTTTTATGCTTCTGAACTACTCTAAAATAAAAATCTAAACGCCACAATGTATATGGACACATTGGCTAAAATAGAGCTGTGTTCAGAGGCATTAAAAAAAAATTTAAAATGCATTTAAGGCTTCATTCACACGGCCATAATATTTTTACACATGTTTTCTAGGAGAAAGGTTCCTGCGTAACGGTCAGTAAAATACTTGCGTACTGTATAGATGCATTTAAACATGTAAAGATGTGTATACGTACATAATGAGAATTTCTTTTTTCACCTTTGTTTAGACTGAATTTATGTGAGTAAGCCTGTAAAGCGCGTGTACTACTTAGATGCAGTGGCGTAACTAGAACCTTCAGGGCCCCGGTGCAAGAAACTGTGAAGGGCCCTCTTGACCCCTTCCCTGTGAGCCTGATGGCAGAACACCAGGGCTTGCTTGCAAGTGTAACCTTTGTGACCCTGGTAGTTTCTCCACTGGTGTCAGTTTTTTTTTTAGCCTTTTTTTTTTTACAATTTTTTTAGGAGCCACATTGGTGGGCCTTGGTGAAATTTCAGGGGTCTAAACAGACGACTGATGTTCCACCTTTGGGACAGAGAAAGGAGATTGAGGACGCAGCCCTCAGTCTCCTTATCTGCATCCTCAGCAGCACAGAATGAATGAACAGGAATAGCTCTGTACAGAGCTTCCTGTCCATTCACTAACTGAAGCACAGGAAACACAGCAATCGGTAACAATCACTGACGGTCCATTCAGAAAAGGAAGGGGCTGGTGAATGACACATTCCCCACTCTCCATCCTGACGCATCCCCCGCAGCAGCAGGTGAGAGTGGGGAGGGTGGAACCCATCAGAGTTGCGGCAGCGGAGAGCACAGGGGGCAGCAGAAAGAAGCTGGATAGGGGGAGCAGCAGGGGCAGCTTCATATGGAGATATCAATCTCTTCATTTTCCTCCTCCAGCCACTGAATGCCAGCGGGAGAGAGAGAAGAAGAAGCAGGAATTCAGCAGCTGCAGGAGGACCATGGAGAGATTGGTTCTTCTATATGCAGTCACCCCCTCCTATTCAGGCATACAGGGGGGCCGCACGGGCCCCCTGCAGCATGGGGCCAAGTCGCAATTGTGACCCATGTAGGTACCCCCCTATTTAGATGCAGATTTTTGCATTCTGTGTTAAGGATCTGAATGCAGTGCATGTTTTTGCACCTGTGTGAATGGCTCCATTGAAAACAATGAAGATGCGTTCAGAATCGTAATTAAAAAACACTTGCATATGAATTTTTAAGGCGAATGAAGTGAATGAAGCCTAAAAAGCATCAACAGCCATGTGCATGAGGCATAAGAAGCTGAAAAAATCTGGGAGAATTATAACTGCTTCAGTTTTCTGCTACAAAGTGGTTAAGGTGCCGTGGTGATGGAGACCCTCCTAGACCGGCAATAACATCCAACTGATTTTCCAGTCCTATATAGTGTGATGGCTATGCATGAGCTGTATTTTCATGGACTTTGGTTTCATATAATACTTTCTAAGCATTATTTTTTTCCGTTATTTTATAGGTTGTTAAAGTACTATTTCTCAGATGGACAAGGCAGTTAATTCTGCAGATATGTCTCTTGATGACATTCATATGAGTTCCAGTGAACTATTGGACAAGAAGGAAATTGACTGTGGGGGTTTTGGAAAAGTGTACCTGTGCTGCCATAGAAGCCATGGCCTGGTTGTCCTGAAAACTGTGTTTACGGGGTGTAAGCAAGATTCGTAAGTAACAACTCCTATGTTTTTATGTTTGAAAAATTAGTGTTCCCTAATCTGTACCTTTTATTTTCAATATATAAACCAACACAAAAATGTTGGCTGTTGGGCTATAATTTAAAGTTGAGTGTAAAGCATTCTGCATGCATCAGTGGTGTGGATGCTGGCTCCCCATAGTTAGAAGCAGGCTGAACATATTGTTCTGCTTTGTCACTCATCTAAACACTAGAATTAAAAGAAAAGTGCAAGAATCAAAAAAACAAACAAACAAAACATCTATATTCACCTAGATGGCTTCAGCATGGATCTGATGCTGCAGCTTGTCCCCCAGCAGATGTTTCGAGAACCAAGCCATCAAAGACTGCTGATCGCTCAGATCTCAGTCTTCAGTGAGCAGAGAGTAGGGCTGTGCAGGGGCAGGAGCAGCTGGCTCAGGCTCACAGCAGTGTGTGGAGAGGCTGAACCAGCTGCTGGTCAGGCACCTGGACAGATCCCGACATTATTGTCAGGATCCCTGCAATGCTTGAACCGGCTCTGTGACGTCAACCAACAGTGGGCTTTAGCCCACTGTCAGAAGAATCTGGGTCACAGGAGTGCAGAAATAAGTGCACTCCTGTGACCCACAGGAGATAGATGGTCTTTGACCATACTTGTCTTTTAATTATTTCAGAATAGTTAAAATGATAGTAAAGTTAAAAATGTAAAAATCCGCAGAAAGGCAGGGTTTTTATAACAGAAGAAACCCTAGTGGTCTCTACTGTTATAAATGCCCCCCACACATAAACAGCTCAGACTGCATTTACGGCCCGCTCTGTGTCCCACGGTGATGTGACTCCTGTGTGCAGGAGTGATATTGACTGCAGCCCAGCCATTCAAGCGGCTGAAGTTGAGGAGCCCGTAAGGAAGACTGGGTGAAGATGGAAGCCATGGAGAGCCATGACAGTGCAGCACTGGAGGGTTCCCTTTGCAGGTGAGTCTGTCATATTGTGCTAGTATGCGGTGCATACTAATATAATTATTACTCAAACTGCCTGGGGATCATTTTTTAAACTTTACTTAGGCGACTTTACTACCGCTTTAATAGCACTACACATTGTAAAACTTGCCCTTTATCAGAGGGACCGAATGTGCTATTCTACAGATATAAGGTTTTAAAAAAATGTTTTTACTAGAAGTGTGCATTCTCTGTGTTCTGAGTATTTTTGCCTCTTTCATGTGCTAATGAGTTCTGTAATTAGGATTTTAGGACAGTGCAAACAGATAAAGCTGCGCACATAGGGGTCTAATTATTAATAATTTGCTGGATGAATGTCATAAGCATGTATCCAGCCATAAGAAATGTTCCCCATATTTTGTTTAATAGGTTTTTTTGCTGTGATTGTCAGCTCCATCTAGTGTGCATAATGTGGTATTTTTCATATTGAGGTGTTTCAGGAAATACTGTAGTATGGCTATTAGATGGAGTTGACGATCATAGGAAATAAATCTATTAGGCAGAATACGGGAACAATTTATTACTGCTGAGCCTAATGTACAATGATTTTTCTTTTATAATATGACAGGGGTATAACCCTCCCTTGCGCTATCCAAAATGAGAAAAAAAGTTTTGCCTTTAGTTCCACTTTAATATAAATGATGTATTAAGTTGTAGAGGGTTGTATCTCTCAGAGACCATTGTTTTATCATTCCAATCTTGACTGAAGCATATTTTTTTGTTGATGACAATATTGGAACTGACCATACAGGTGGGTTTTTTCAGTCTGTTAGGGGGTCTGGAAACAGTAATCTGAAATACAATTGGATGCCATGGGTTACTACTTTGCATAAAGTACCACATTGTTGAATAAACTTTTATTGATATTATATACAGGGAACAGGAGGGTACAAACGTAGCAACAGAAAAGAGATACTCAGTGTTTTATGTCTGTCTGTGATGTTCATGTTTACATTTCTCACTGAGAAATTATGCATTATACTGTTGTATTTCAGGTACAAAAATGATCTTATTCAAGAAGGAAAAATAATGTATAAGCTGAATCATGAGAGAGTTGTAAAGCTACTTGGTGTTATCTTGGAAGATGGCAACTACTCTTTGGTGATTGAGTACATGTCAAAGGGAAATTTACTAAATGTCTTAAAGCAGGTATGGCACAGATGCGTAATTAGCAACTGCTTATTGGTGAGAGTGACAGTTGAAGCTTAGAAATAGATGATTAGATTTTTGTTGCAAAATTGCTGGTTTACCTTTACTAAGTCACCATATAGGTTATCCATATAGTAATAAGTTGGAATTGATTTTTCTATCTTGATTAGCAGGAGAACCTTAACATATACTTAGTGTTCACAAACCAAATTTGTTGTAATCTCTAAATAACCAAAGGCATGATTTTGAGTGGAGAGGGATCAGAACACCTGTCAGGTTTTTATTGCTGCTTGAACCCCAGTTAGGGAGATTCATCCTCTCTATTTGTTGTTTTTACCATTATCACAAAAAGTAAAAGTAAAAGAAAATCCCAAATTTTGGGTTGTCCTCCGAACATAAACAGAGGGACAATTTTCCAGTGTGGACACCAGTTCTGGTGACCCTGGTGGCAACCAGGGATTTGCTTACTTTGGAAGGTTTTCCTCTCACTTCCTTTTTGTTTCATTATGGGACAAGACGTTAAGGGAAATCTCCCCAATGGGAAAAAGATGGCAAAAAAAACTGATAGGGGTTATGATCCTTCCCTCTATCCAAAATGAAAAAAAAAAAAAAGAATTGCCTTAAGTTTAACTTTAAACTAATGCTGTCACAAAGGTGGACAATTCAAACGTCAGTGGAAGCCATATGTCGTTACACCCAGTGGAATTGCTGAATGTTAAATACCAATTCCATCCAAATCGTATGTTTCTGTTTCATATAGCTGTTAAATACAGCATAGAAAACCCCTAAAGTAACAATAATACCCATACTGCATGCAACATCGCAATGGGGGTTATTTACTAAAACTGTATGGTGCAAAATCTAGTGCAGCTGTGCATAGTAACCAATCAGCTTCCAGGTTTTATTGTCCAAGCATAATTGAACAAACTGAAGTTAAAAGTTAATTGACTACCATGCACAGCTTGTGCACCAGATTCTGAGTGCACCAGTTTTAGTAAATCTCTAACGATTAAGTGAAAGCAAGTGCTTAATCTCCCCCTCTAATTCTAATATTGGGCAGCTAAGTGGCTAAGTGGTTAGCACTTCCACCAAGCAGTACTAGGGTTGTCAGTTCAAATCCCAGTCATGGCTCTACCTGCCTGGAGTTTGCATGTTCTTCCTGTACCTGTGTGTGTTTCCTCCCACACTTAAAGACGTGCTGATAGGTTAATAGTCTCCTGTCTATATTGGCCCTAGTATGTGTATGAATGCAAGTTAGGGACCTTAGGTTGTATGCTCCATGAGGGTAGGGACAGATATGAATGTACAATATACATGTAAAGTGCTGCATAAATTTATAGTGCTATAAAAGTACCTGTAATAAATAAAATATTAACCTTCATATTGTCAAAAACATAAATTAGAGACTAAAACTATTTAAAATTTAGTCCTGACTGTTTTCTTTTTTTCACATATACTGTATGACCACAGTAGAGAGCAGGTATATTTTCCAGAAAAAAAGCAAAACATCAGTCTTTTTTTTTTTCTCTTTTGGCCATACTTTGCATTGGAATACAGTATAGTCAAAATCATTATTTTTCAACATCATAGCTATAATAACTGTAATGGGGTTCTCTTTATATAGTGACCACTTAGAGATAAGCTACATAATCTATTTAAAGTAGAACTAATCCCTACCCTACAAAAACACAGAAACTAATTTAGAAAGATACACATTACCTTACAAAACTTTCTTTACAGCAATATTATAATCCACATTTGTTTTGTGTGCAGGCCATTCTCCTATAGGCAGGTGCAGTCTACTTTCTCCACTGCAGGTGGTGCTCAACTGCAGTGGCACTGCAGAGGGAATGGAAGTCGAGAAGAACAAGGCTTCTTTTATGATTTCTTGGGTCACTGGGGCAGCGATTCGGTTGGATGCTGGCAGGCCATGTGACTATGGTAGCCATCTTAAGTCAGGCAGAGTGTATTTAACACCCTGGTTCCTGGCATTAGCACACATTTTGCATGTGGGTAGTGTAGGGACAGGTCAACCATCTTACAGGGACAGTGACCAGCGGTAGGGAGAGCTTCCAGACAACTAGGAAAGGGATAGGGATATGCCATCTTTCCTGGAAGCCTCCCCGCTTGAATCTGGACTGGCCAGGCCGCATTCTGTCCCTCAAGACAGACGTTCTCAGTACATCTGAGACCTTCAGTTCCTGCAACTGGACTCTTTGTGTTTACTGCCACCACACCATGCTGCACTCTCTCATACTTGGTGGCAGTCAGCAGGATATGCCACTTGTCACATCGGGTGCAGACGCAGGAGCATCATTATTGCACTGCTGGGATTGGCCCTGGCTCTGTTGCCTATGTTCAATGGGTCCAACATTCCTTTGGTGGAGTGGGAGGAGAGACTAGAGAGCGCTGTGTGCCTATACCAAGTTCCTGCCTGCTAATCGCCATTAATTCCTTGAAGGGTGACGCAAACGGTGATGGCTCTGCTGGAGGAAGACTGCTCCACCCTAGAGCAAATTGTGATACACCTGAAGGGCCTGTTCAGAGAGAATGTGAGGTCCCAGAGTTGAGGCGCAGATTCTATGTCCAGAGGCAGCAGGAGGATGAGAGTCTCACCTATTTCGCGTTATCACTCCAGAACCTCAGGAAACAAGTGGAGAAGAGGGATGCATGCAGCTGTGTTAATATCGCTGACATACTGAGGTCATATACTGAGGGACCAGTTTGTGGTAGGACTAAAGGTGGGCCCAGTCAGGAGGGCCCTGCAGGAACAAATAAGAATGCAACCCACCAACTCCCTCCATGATATTGTGGTGAATGTGGTTGTGCAGGAACAGGAAGATGCTGAGGCATCTATGGCAGTGACAAAAGGTATGATCTGCTGCACATGACAGAGGATGCCCTGGCTCCTTTGCCTCTGTCAGCAATACAAACAACATTGCGGGAACTCGCCTTCCTGAAACAGGATATATCCACACTCAAACTGAATTCAGCCCCTTCCCCTAAGGGTGAAAACCCATTACGGAGGGACCCAGAGAAGGACCGGAAGTGCTGGCAGTGCGAGAGTTTTAGACATGTAAGCAAAGTCCTCCTTATCAACCTATGATGTCATTGGTTGTTAGCATGATGTAAAGGTTACAATTAGAAACCCTTAGCTTTTTTAAACTAAAAGGCAGGCTTGATCCACCCAAAATGTGTAAGTCGTAATGTGTAAATGTGTAAGTCATGAAGAAGGCGGATATGGTGGAAACGCAGAGGGGTTGATTTACTAAAGGCAATATATTATGTACTTCAAGTGCACTGAAAGGGCAGTTGCTCTAGAGCTTAGTAAATAAAGTAAAGCTCCACTTTGCAAAGAATAGCCAATCACATGCAAGGAAAATAAAAAACAGCATTTTTACATGCACATGATTGGATGATAGAAATTAGCAGAGCTTCCTTCATTTCAGAGCTTCCCCTCAGATCTAGAGGAACTGCACTTGCAGTGCATTTGTAAGTGCACAGACTATTTGCTTTTAGTAAATCAACCCCAATGTAATAATACACCAATGTAATAATAAAACGATGTCTTGCTACACTTGTCCGTGATGCCATTAATCTTCTGAACCGCCCAGTGACTTGTATACAATATCTGGACAATTGTTAGGCATTTTGCCAAGGCACCCCTGATGATACCTGAAGGCACCCTGGTTGAAAAAGGCTGCTTTAGATTACCATTAGGCATTTTTTTTCTTTACCCCATGTGACATTGCTAGTCATATGGGCTTAAGGAAGGAAGGGGAGCATTGCGAGAGCAAAGCATCTTGCCAGATATAACTGCTGTTCTAAACACGGCAATGTGCTCTGCAGCTGTTAGCATGGTTCAGATGTTTAACAAAACAGGGAAAAAAATCTGTTTTAACTTTAGATACTTTCAAGTTCTTAGGACAACAAGCTCAAAAACGCCATAGACAAAAATTCCAAGAATTCTCTATATCCTAATACATGAACACTAACTGATCAATTAATACCTCACAGTTCTCCACATATATTGTGCAACTCCCAATAAGTGCACCTTACTTTCGTTGACTAACATGTTTACCTAACTTAAATGTTTACTTCAAAACAGGTCTTTTTTAACCAGAAGCTCCCGGAAAAAGCAATTATTTAGCTATTTTAAGGACTGCAGTGGTAAGATTGCCTCCAGTTACACTAGGGTCGCTGATAAGGGGGTACCACCTGTGTTCCTGTATGGGGCCCGGGACAGCAGGGGAGGACAGTTAACAGGGGTAATCCGATGTGGGCAGGGAGGGCGATCGGTGTGGCGTGGGGGGAAATTACTGGAACCGATTCCTTGTATCGCTCTTTCCTCCTCTCCCTCCAGCTGGCTTTCAGCTGCTACAGAGAGCCATACAGAGGATTGGTTCCAGTAACTGCCCCCCCATCACACCGATCATCTTCCCCGTGCACCATCCTCTTTCTTCTGCTGCCCGGGCCCCCCTGTTTGCCCCCCCTCCGAAGCACTGCCAGCTTTCCTCCTCTCCCTCTCACCAGCTACAGGCACACAGGGGGATGTTTCAGGATGGAGAGCAGAAGAAGGTGCCAGTGAATAGGTCGTATTTTTTGGCCCTCTCCTTTCCTGAACGAACATAATGAGTGAACATAATGAGTGATCGGTACCCAGCTCTCATTGTGTTCATTCATGACTAAAGCATAGTTAACTGTGTTCACTGTGCTTCAGTTTATGAATGAACAGGAGGAGCCTCTGTACAGAGAAAGGAACTGAGGAATTTAACTACACTGTTGTGTGGGGCCATACAGCTACAGTACATCCACATGCCTGTCATATTAGGATCTGCGGCTGTGTTCGAACAGCTGCTGCATCCCTATAGTGGTACACAGCCTGCCTACACTTATCTCCAACCACATACAAAAACACAAATTAACACTATGCAGGCCACAGCACCCATGTGAATAAGCCCCAAGACCTAATTCACATGGGTAATCTTTTTAGATTTGGTGGGAATTTTGTAAGTTATGTTTACAGTGCCTTGAAAAAGTATTCATACCCCTTGAAATATTCCACATTTTCTCATGTTACAACCAAAAACGTAAATGTATTTTATTGGGATTTTATGTAATAGACCAATATAAAGTGGCAGATAATTGTGAAGTGGAAGGAAAATGAGAAATGGTTTTCAAAATTTTTTACAACTCAATATCTAGAAAGTGTGGGGTACATTTGTATTCAGCCCCCAAATCAATACTTTGTAGAACCACCTTTCACTGCAATTACAGCTGCAAGTCTTTTTGGGGATGTCTCTACCAGCTTTACACATCTAGAGAATGAAAGTTTTGCCTATTCTTCTTTTCAAATTAGCTCAAGCTCTGTCAGACTGAATAGAGAGCATCTGTGAACAGCAATTTCCAAGTCTTGCCACAGATTCTCATTTGGATTTAGGTCTGGACTTTGACTGGGCCATTCTAACCTGGAAGGTGAATCTCAGCTCAAGTCTTTTGCAGACTCGCAGGTTTTCTTCTAAGATTGCCCTATATTTGGCTCCATAGATGTTCCCACTCTGACCAGCTTCCCTGTCCCTGCTGAAGAAAAGCATCCCCACAACATGATGCTGCCACCACGTTTCTTGGTGGGGATGGTGTGTTCAGGGTCATGTGCAGTGTTAGTTTTCTGCCACACATAGTGCTTTGCCTTTAGACCAAAACATTAAATTTAGGTCTCATCTGACCAGAGCACCTTCTTCCACTTGTTTGCTGTGTCCTCCACATGGCTTCTCACAAAATACAATTGGGACTTCTTATGGCTTTCTTTCAACAATGGCTTTCTTCTTGCCACTCTTTAATAAAGGCCAGACTTGTGGAGCGCTCAACTAATAGTTATCCTGTGGACAGATTCTCCCACCTGAGCTGTGGATCTCTGCAGCTCCTCCACAGTTACCATGGGCCTCTTGACTGCTTCTCTGATGAATGCTATCCTTGCCCGGCCTGTCTGTTTAGGTGGACGGCCATGTCTTGGTAGGTTGCAGTTGTGCCATACTCTTTCCATTTTCAGATGATGGATTGAACAGTGCTCCATGAGATGTTCAAAGCTTGGGATATTTTTTTATAACCTAACCCTTCTTTAAACTTCTCCACAACGTTATCCCTGACCTGTCTGGTGTGTTCCTTGGCCTTCATGATGCTGTTTGTTCAATAATGTTCTCTAACAAACCTCTGAGAGAATAGCTTTATTTATACTGAGATTAAATTGCACACAGCTGGACTCTATTTACTAATTAGGTGACTTCTGAAGGCAATTGGTTCCACTAGATTTTAGTTAGGGGTATCAGAGTAAAGAGGGCTGAATACAAATGCACAGCACACTTTTCAATTATTTATTTGTAAAACATTTTGAAAACCATTTATCATTTTCCTTCCACTTCACAATAATGTGCCACTTTGTGTTGGTCTATCACATAAAATCCCAATAAAATATATTTACGTTTTTGGTTGTAACATGACGAAATGTTCAAGAGGAATACTTTTTGAAAGCACTGTATGTCTGCTTATAATGATTTTAGCGTATTTTTAGTGAAAATATTGTTTTGGTAATTTGAAGGGGGGGACTGTCAGGTAGACTGTGTGGGGCCCTGTGATTTCTTACAGCAGCCCTGAATTCTACCAAACTGTAGTGAGCACTACAAAGTCAAATGGTAGTATAATGCACTTTCCATGTAGTTGTATTGCTTTGTCTGATATTTATTTATTAATTAGGTATTCATTGCAGTCCCTCTCCTATTTAAATCTAGATTGAAGTACCCATTTCAGTAAAAGCTCGTTTTATCCTGGAAATTATTGAAGGAATGATTTATCTGCATAGTGAAAAAGTGATCCACAAGGACCTGAAACCAGAAAATATTCTGGCAGATGATAATTTTCATGTTAAGGTAGGTTTTTTAAAGAAAAAACACAGTGGCATATTTATAAAGCAGTGAATGTGACTTTTACCAAACATTCATTGGTGGTTAATCAATCCCTGTCATTTAAAACACATGTAGTGAATGTTTGGTGAATGACAAATTCACTGCTTTATAAATACGCCCCTTTGATTACATTCTTTTAAATTTACTTCTGCTTGAAATGTGGAACACACTAGAAACCCTCATGATGGGTTTCCTTTAATGTCTCCATAGATTGCAGATCTTGGTGTTGCAGCCTTCCAGAAATGGAGCACTTTGACCAAAGAGGAAACCAGTCGCCAAAGGAGTCGGAGCAAAAAAACGAGTACAGCCAAGGCTGGCAGCGGTGGGACATTAAGCTACATGGCACCTGAGCACTTCAAAGATATAAACCAAAAGGCATCTAAAAAATCTGACATGTACAGCTTTGCAATAGTTATCTGGGTGATACTAAGCAACAAGGAACCCTATGAAAGTAAGTTTGTGTTATCTATTGTTTTGTAATATGCCAACTTCTTTTTTCTATTTACCGTATTTTCTGGCGTATAAGACGACGGTGTATAAGACGACCCCCTACTTTTCCTGTGAAAATGTAGTTTTTGGGTTATACTCGCCGTATAAGACTATCTCTCTTCCAATGCACACCAGTGGGAAGAATAGTGCCCCATCATTAGTATCAGTGGGAAGAATTGTGCCCCATCATTAATATCAGTGGGAAGAATCGTGCCCCATCATTGGTGTCAGTGGGAGGAATAGTGCCCCATCATTGGTATCAGTGGGAGGAATAGTGCCCCATCATTGGTATCAGTGGGAAGAATCGTGCCCCATCATTGGTGTCAGTGGGAGGAATAGTGCCCCATCATTGGTGTCAGTGGGAGGAATAGTGCCCCGTCATTGGTGTCAGTGGGAGGAATAGTGCCCCGTCATTGGTGTCAGTGGGAGGAATAGTGCCCCATCATTGGTATCAGTGGGAGGAATAGTGCCCCATCATTGGTGTCAGGGGGAGGAATAGTGTCCCAACATTGGTGTCAGTGGGAGGAATAGTGTCCCAACATTGGTGTCAGTGGGGGGTGGAATAGTGCCCCATCATTGGTGTCAGAGGGAGAGGAGGAATAGTGTCCCATCGTTGGTGTCAGTGGGAGGAATAATGCCCCATCATTAGTATCAGTGACACCAATGATGGGGCACTATTCCTCCCACTGACACCAATTACACTTGCTGACCCCTGTTCTAGATGCTATTGTTGCTGCTGCAGCCAGCATATGTGGTTGCAGCAGCACCTCTGGACGGCACACTTACCGGCCGCTCCTTCACTCGATTTTCGTGGGGCCGCTCGGCCCCGCCTCCTCATCGGTGATTGGCTGCCTGTGTGCCTTTCCTGAGCTACAGTTCTGGCGGCCAATCACCGGTGAGGAGGCGGAGCCGAGCAGCCGCGCGAACATCCAGTGGCCGAACCGAATGAAGGAGCAGCCGCGCTTCCTGGACCGGATTGTCGTGGGACCGGAGCCAGGTAAGAGACAGCAGCCCCTGCCCACCCCTGTACTTAGTGTCCCTTCCGTTGGAAGGGGGGGGGGGCGGCGGCGGCACCGCGCCGCCCCCCTAAAAAGTGTCAGCATGCAGTATACCGGCGTGTAAGACGACCCCCGACTTTTGAGAAAATTTTCAAGGGGTAAAAAGTCGTCTTATACGCCGGAAAATACGGTACATTGGTGTATTTCAGTAAAAAATGTTTACTATGTCATATACCTCTTCTTAGCTAACCAAAGCTTATTATATGTGGTGTAAAACAAATATGCATGTGTATTTTTAATTACTCAATTGCTATACAGTGTTTGTATGGAGAATCTTTCTCTAAGCATGGGTATTTTGGACCTTTTTTCTATAGTGTATTTTGATACAGTCTTGTGCTTTCTTTATACAGTATATCTGCTATCTACACTGTATTTTGTCACAGTCTGGCAGTATGTCTTTTTCTGCCCCTCGACAGTAAATTTACTGCTAGACATAAGATGAAAGTCACATGATCTTGGTATTTTCATGTAGATCAGATGACAAGTGTCCACAAATCCTATGAATGGTCACTTAATGACTGCTGTAAGGATACGTTTACACTAGCCCGTTCTCTGAAAAGTGATCCCTGGTGGATCACCTTTCAGACTGCTGCTAAAGTAGCTGCTGACAAGCGCTCAGGAGGCGATCCTGCCACCTTATGAATGCCTGTTTTTTCAGGTTAGAAAACCTGGTTGTTGCTTTTTCACCCTGAGACAAGCAGTGCCAGTAGTCTTTACCTACACCATTCATGTGTTCGCTTTCCCCTCTCCATTTACTTTAGTTGGCGATTATACAGGATGGAGAGTTTTTTTGCGCCAATGTGGCAGTGCTAAGCCAAGCACCACTGCTGTCACATGAAAGGAATTGGAGTAAGTCACATATTCCTCTATATCTGGAAGTACTGGGGATTTTGTTCATTCACTGTGGTTGAACTAATCAAGAGGGGAGTGAAAGAACAGTGGATATATTGTGCTGGGGGCCAGCCATTATACAGTAGCTAAACCCAAGAACAAAGATGGTGTGCATTGCAGCCTACTAGTCCTTAGATGTGGTGGCCACACTAGTTTGCTTTGTTCACGTTTTGCTTTATTTTCACCTGTGATCTTTCCAATAGTGTACTTTCTGATTTAGAATACCATCACTCAATCACTGTACTATATTCTATAAAGGAGCAGAACCGGGTTGTCACCATAGGGCAAGAAGTGTGTTAGGACTACAGAACACCGCCTTCATCTAATTGCTATAACATAGGGCATCACTGTGTAGTCCACAGACGGAATTCAGGCAGGGAAGATAACATCGTTTAATATTTCAGTGCTGCAGTGTCATCTCATTACAAGCAGTGGCGCTTACTGGATCAACTGGATCATGTGGCAGGATCAGAAAATATGTTGTTGAACAAGTAATAAGAAAATATTTTCAATTGCAAAAAGGAAAAAATTAGAACAGTTCTTTGTTAGGGTCTGCATACTTTTTAAAGTCGTAGCGCAGCTTTAAGCTGACCATAGACATGAGGACATAGCCATTACTGTCAAGTAGGAAAAGATCAAGATTGAAGTAGCAGATTAGAAAACCTTTACTAGTCAGCTTTCACTGAATGTGAGCTTTAAATACTTCCTTTTACATCCATAGCGCATTTGCATAATCCAATAGTATTGGTGGGTGTCCAGATATCTGCAATATAAATGACGTTATATGATGAATGATATGAATAAGGATGAAATGTGTACATATTTTTTTTGTTTTTCATTTGTTTTGTGTTGTTTTTCAGATGTCATTAGTAATGATCAGCTGTCACTTTGTGTGAAGAATGGCCAAAGGCCAAGTGTCACTGACTGCATGTGTCTAGAGGAGGCAGCCATTCTTATGCAGGAATGCTGGAAGGATAAGCCAAATGAAAGACCTTCTTTTGAAGGTAAAGCTTATAACAGATCATTACCCTTTTGTGGTTTACCTGAAGAAAAATAGGTAAAAAAGGTTCTAATTTATTCAAGTATTAAAGTTTAGGTTCAACTCTACCCAAGGCCTTCTCCACTCCAGGAATGTTGCTTTAATTGTAGGTGGGCATTTTCCAGTTTCTTATCCAGTGGATACCACTAAGGTTGACGGCTGAATGAGAGTCTGTCCTGACTCTATGGGGTTGATTTACTAAAGGTAATTAGACTGTGCACTTTGCAAAGTGCAATTGCACTCTGCAAGTGCAGGTGCTCCAGACCTTCCACTCTCTCAGGCTGCAGTGCATCCGGAACTATTGAGCCCAATTGCCAGCTTATGTGGCAGCACAGCTCACTTTGTTAGGCAAATTAGGAGGCTGTGAGACCCCTGTGAATGCCTAATTTGCCTACTTAAAGAGCTGCCTCTGGTCATAGCAGCTGGACATCCCAGTATTCTACATTAGGGATATACAGTGGGAAAATAATTATTTGATTCCCAGCAGATTTTGCAAGTTTGCCCACTTACAAATAAAAATGAAGGATCTATAATGTTTACTGTGTAGATATATTTTAACCGCTTAAGGTCCTCCCTGTAGGAGATATACTGATACAGGGCTGCACCTGTGCGCAAAATCACATATATATATATATGTGATTTTGCATTTCCAGGTAGGGGGCGCACACCCTACCCGTGCTGCCATTCACGGCTGCGGATGTCAATCATCGGGTCCCGGGTGGTGATTACCAAGCATCTCCGACGGGGAGGAAGATTGTTTTGTTTACAAATAATCTTCCTCCCTCTCAGCTCAAGCACACTGCTTGGGATGGCTGTGCACAGTACAGCCATCCCGATCAGTGTGCTTACAGTGAAGAACACACCCCCACGTTGTCAAGGTCCTACCTTTTCCCAGAGGTTATGTTACTCCATGTGCTGGCATCCATCTTGGATTATTGCAGAGCATGGTGGGAATCCTTTATGCCTTCAGGTCTCTGAGGTCCATCCCCCAGAGGGGTGTGGCTGATTACATATAAGCCTGTGGTCCGCACATGCTCTTTGCACTTGTGTCTTGGTGTTGCTATAACTCTGTTCTGACTCTCGTGACTCTCCTGGAATCTGACTCGGCTTGTGACTCGACCATTCTTTGTATTCTCCTTTGATCGGACTCTCCGTTGCTGAACCCAGCCCGTGACCTGTGATTCTCGTCTGCTGTCCTGTACCGTTTTGTCCCGTTGTTGTCGACCCGGCATGCCTGACTACTCTATTGTCTTTTCCACCAGCTACACGCCATTGGCGGCGGCCATTACCGCAACTGGGGTGTCTCGGGGGCCGCGACCTGGTTCCTGGCTGCGTCAAGTCCATCCCCACCATCAGGGGCCCTGGTGAAGGGCAGCCTGGGACTTAGACTCCGCGCCCTGAGGGACTTTGGTCTGTGGGTGGTGGTTGTCGTCAGTCAGTGCGTTACATTGTTAATAGGCCTGCCTGTCCATTCCAGCGTTCCTGTCCTGACACACACCCCCTAGTAAAACACTTCCAGCACACATTTTCAGTAGAGAAGATGGGACTTTCAGGGTGCATGAACATGAATACCAAATATATTAAAAGGTTATATAAATTTTTATTTCATATTTTTTTAAAAACAAAAAAAGGAAAAAATACAGAAACATAAAACCAATTTCAGTACTAAAAGTGGAACTGAGATTCAAACTTGATTTTATAATTGTAGTTACTTCCTACATGTTTCGCCCTCACGGGCTTCTTCAGGGGTGATTTTCGAAGAGATTTCAACTGCCGAGGCAGTCTAAAGGTATATCAAAAAGAATTATACAATTACCAAACAACTTAATATATCCAATACAAAGTATTTAATCAAATAAATATATATTGGACTCAATGGCTCACCCTGGATGTGAAAGCTCACCGAGTCAAGAGGAAATAACCTATCAAAGATCTTAATAGGCCTACACGTCCAAAACTGTTGTAGAGGATATAATGGGCATCAAATATCCATTTAGGCATAATAGGATAGACACAAAAAAAATAAAAATTATTTAAGAGAAGATATGAGGAAGAGATCATAATTCATTAGGTTGAGGTTGACTTTAGGTAATTTTACCTGTTAAATGTTTTAGAAGAATATATAGGTGTAATCTAACAAGGATCTAATTGATCTATACGTCCAAAACCATAGGAGAGGAAACAATGGACATCAAACATCCATCTAGACATAATAGGATAGACAGAGAGATCAGCAATTAATTTAATTGCAAAGAGGAAGTCAAAAGATGTTGAGTAATAAAAATTAACTTAAGCGGTTTTACCTGTTGAAAATTGCAGAAGGATATAAAAGGCATATTTTGTCTAAAGATCTAATTGGCCTATAATGTCCAAAGTTGGAGAAAATAATGGGCATCAAATATCTATCTAGGTGTAACAGGATAAACAGTTGGAAAATATATTGGGCATCAGCTATCCATCTAGGCATAACGGGATAAACATAGGGGAGTCAAGAAGTACCGTATTTTTCGCTTCATAAGACGCACTTTTTTCCCCCCCAAAAAAAGGGGGGAAAATGTCAGTGCGTCTTATGGAGTGAATATGGAGCGGCCGGTCCGGTATTTCCACTGCCGCCGTGTCAGAATACTGGGCCGGACGCTCAGCTCTGCAGCAGGACCTTACCTGTTCCTCTATCCAGCGGCGCTGTCTTCACGGCTTCTGTAGTGTGGGCGCTCAGCTTGACAGACGGGTGCCAAATGCAAGAAGCGGTGCGCTTTGTGAGTGGTAAGGCGGCACCTGGGACACATGACAGATCCCAGAAGCTGCCGGACCATTCAAAAAGCGCAGCGCTTCTCGCTCATGTGCACTGGGCACCCGGCTGTCAAGCTGAGCACCCACACTACAGAAGGCGGGAAGACAGCGCGCCGCTGGATAGAGGAACAGGTAAGGTCCCGCTGCAGAGCTGACACTAACCAAAGAACAACTCTGCGGAAGTAAGAGCGGGTACCTGTCAAATTCAGGCACCCGCTCCCCCCCCTCCCCAAAGGTCAGCATTCACCTCCTGTACTGTCCGCAGTCTCTGGTCATCTCCTGTACTATGTCTGCAGTCTCTGGTCATCTCCTGTACTATGTCTGCAGTCTCTGGTCATCTCCTGTACTGTGTCCACAGTCTCTGGTCATCTCTTGTACTGTCCACAGTCTCTGGTCATCTCCTGTACTGTCCACAGTCTCTGGTCATCTCCTGTACTGTCCGCAGTCTCTGGTCATCTCCTGTACTATGTCCGCAGTCTCTGGTCATCCCTGTACTGTCCGCAGTCTCTGGTCATCTCCTGTACTATGTCCGCAGTCTCTGGTCATCTCCTGTACTGTCCGCAGTCTCTGGTCATCTCCTGTACTATGTCCGCAGTCTCTGGTCATACCTGTACTGTCCGCAGTCTCTGGTCATCTCCTGTACTATGTCCGCAGTCTCTGGTCATCTCCTGTACTGTCCACAGTCTCTGGTCATCTCCTGTACTGTCCACAGTCTCTGGTCATCCCCTGTACTGTGTCCGCAGTCTCTGGTGATCTCCTGTACTGTCCACAGTCTCTGGTCATCTCCTGTACTGTCCACAGTCTCTGGTCATCCCCTGTACTGTGTCCGCAGTCTCTGGTGATCTCCTGTACTGTCCACAGTCTCTGGTCATCTCCTGTACTGTCCACAGTCTCTGGTCATCACTGTCCACAGTCTCTGGTCATCCCCTGTACTGTGTCCGCAGTCTCTGGTCATCTCCTGTACTGTCCACAGTCTCTGGTCATCTCCTGTACTGTCCACAGTCTCTGGTCATCTCCTGTACTGTCCGCAGTCTCTGGTCATCCCCTGTACTGTGTCCGCAGTCTCTGCTCATCTCCTGTACTGTCCGCAGTCTCTGCTCATCTCCTGTACTATGTCCGCAGTCTCTGGTCATCTCCTGTACTATGTCCGCAGTCTCTGGTCATCTCCTGTACTATGTCCGCAGTCTCTGGTCATCTCCTGTACTGTGTCCGCAGTCTCTGGTCATCTCCTGTACTGTGTCCGCAGTCTCTGGTCATCTCCTGTACTATGTCCGCAGTCTCTGGTCATCTCCTGTACTGTGTCCGCAGTCTCTGGTCATCTCCTGTACTATGTCCTCAGTCTCTGGTCATCTCCTGTACTATGTCTGCAGTCCATTGGTTCAGAATGTTTTTTTCCTGTTTTCTGCCTCTAAAACCTAGGTGCGTCTTATAGTCAGGTGCGTCTTATGGAGCGAAAAATACGGTAATTTAATTTCAAAAAGGGATATAAGGGAAAGGTTATAAGTTATTGAAGGGTTAAGGTTAATTTTAAACGGTTTTACCTGTTATATATTGCAATTCAAGCAGCAAGGACAGTGTGGGGAAAAAAAATTTTTTAATTGAAAATCACTTTCCAATTCCACCAGTGGGTGTCAGCAAAGGACTCCAGTCCAGAAGATATTAGCTGAAAAGACAATTCACTACTATAAGAATGCAATATAAAGCAAGCCCTCAGGTGACAGAAGTCACCATTTTCCTGAAGCCCACTCATTTAAATAGATCAATCAAAATACCAAAACAGTTTCCAGGATACTCAGTGTGCACTGGTGATTAGCAGAAAGGCCATTTTAAAATTCCTGCCCTCTTTTATATCCTCCACACCAGCCGACTTGTGACGTCATCGGCCGGGTGCAGCCATCCAAGATACCCAGCACACAGTTAACCCTTTGATAGCCCCTCGCATTAACCCCTTCCTGCCCAGTGCCATTAGTACAGTGTCAGTGATTTTTTTTTAGCACTGATCACTGTATTGGTGTCACTGGAGATGTCAGTGACACCAAGTTAGTCCCCCCCCCCATTGTCAGAATGTCCGCTGCAGTCCCACTAAAAATTGCTGATCGCCACCATTACTAGTAGAAAAAAAAATCCCATTATCTTTACCGCCATTTGTAAACGCTATAACTTTCACGTAAACCAATTAATTTAGACGCATTGGGATTGTTTTTTTTAGCAAAGACATGTCGCAGAATACATTTTGGCCTAAATTTGATTTTTAAATTTTTTTTTACTGGACATGATTAATAGCAAAAGTACCAAAATATTGTATTTTTTCTCACAAACGTTGGTCTTTTTTTGCTTATAGCGTAAAAAAAAAGATGTGTGCAAACCTGGTAACCAACTACAATAAACATCTTACCTCTGTGCTTGCCAACAAGGGTTTCTCCACCAAGTATGAAGTCATGTTTTGCTTGGGGGTCAAATACTTATTTTACTCACAACTGCAACTCAAATTATAACATTTGTATCATGTGTTTTTGCTGGATTTTTGCTTGATATTCTGTCTATCATTTAAAGAACTGGTATAAAGAGAGTGAACAGGCGCATGAATTATGCAGTCCATATAGTTTTTAAATGAATGGATATGTGTTCCAAGTCAAGCGGAGGGTAGTTCAGTGTGAGACACTAGGGCAGGCTGTGGTAGAGTGAAGCAGAGCTCTAGAGTAGAAGGAACAGAAGAGACACAGCGCCTCTAGGTGTAAAGCTGTCATACAGTCTACACTTAGAGGCAATTTGCCTCTTCTTCTGATCATTTAGAAAACACCTATGATAAAAATTATAGATCCTTCATTTCTTTGTATGTGGGCAAACTTACAAAATCTGCAGGGGATCAAATAATTATTTTCCCCTCTGTAACAATGTAGGGTGACCCCATTTTTTTTCTTTGTGGTGAGAAGGGCAGCAAATTATAATTATTAGATGAACTTGGAATGTATGAGATACTGTAAGCAAAATAAGAAAAAAATAAATGTTATTTCTCGACAGTATTATAATATCTTTCTTAGAGTGTTATACACTAACTGTTAACATGAAAAGCTGAGTAAAAAGTTTACATTGTACTGTACATCCTATGGTTTCATATTGGCCAGTTAGTTGTTTAATGTGGTTGGATAAGCTGCATTAATAAATCAGTTTGGTCTAGGAAATTCCCCAAGTCTAATGTTTAATCTGAGGATTTTTAAAAGATGTTCCTGTGCTGTTTTTTTCACATTTGTTTCTTCCTATCATATTACCCTGTCCCACTTCACCTTTCTTGTTTAGCAAAGAGTCAGTATGCAGGTCAGGGAAGGTAGCTGAACATCTTGGAGAAGGGTTAGGGAATTGAAAGAGTTAGCACAAGTGAAGGTAACTCCAGTGGACAAGCCTACATAAAAGATTTTCCCTGGCTGTTCAGAATCCTCTGATTTTGAAAATTAATTGCAGAATAAATAAAATTACTCTGATAATAATCCACTCTTCCTGTTATGGGAAAGCTTGGGGAAATATGTGCAGATGGTAGAGCCAGCATGTAAGTGAAACGGTTTCTCTACTTCTGCAATAAATCTCCAAAATCAGAGAATTCTCGCTCCCGACCTACCCCCTCATCTTTCCTGGCTGGGCAGGCTGCATTCTCAGATAAGGGTCTGGTATGGGTTTTTAAGGGGACCTCATGCTTTTTTATGTTCTTTTTGGCATGGTTGTCCCCCTTAAAATCCATCAAATAGAAAATCAATCCGACACAGCTCAAGAAACCCACAGCAAGCTTTGCAGGAACCCTGATTAGCCCCTTCCCACCGAGTGTACACATATATGTGGCCTCACGGAAATAGGTCTTTATCCGTGGAGCCATATATATGCAGTACCATGTTTGTGCTGAGAGTGCCCTGCACAGCGTGTTCCAAGCACATACACCAAACTGACATGGATAGCTATGGGTTTCATACCAGCGATCAGGAACCAGGAGGACCTCTTCAGGATCACCTGATAGCTGTGATAGCCTGTGATTGGCTACCGCAGTGATAGGTCACTGTACAGTCTGTTCCTGTGTTTTTTTTTTCCCTCTTGAAAGGAGAAAAATATATTTGGTATCTTTTTCCTTGCTAGAGGAGAAAATTGCAAACATAAAAGTGTCAGATAAAATAGCTAGATCAGGGTTTCATCTAGGTCAGTATCAGGGTTAGGGTCAAGGTTAGGGTCAAAGGTGATGCTCACTGTATTTTAGGTAGGATTTACAAAAAGCATGTTTTAATTTAGTATCAGTGCTAATTAGTGTCAGTGTCAGCATATGTATTGTTTCTGGGCCCTGCTTCAGGCACAAAAACAAATAATATATATGTACTCTATGTGGTATCACTGTGATTGTAAGGAGCAGGAGAATTTGTTTTGGGTTGTTCTTTGGTCGTAGGTTATGGTAATAGCAAGAAATATATGCAAAAACTAAAAAAACATATTTTGTTACTATTTTGTGCCAGTTTTACTTTGATAATAAAAAAACAGGCAATATAATTTATCACCAAATGAAAGCCCAATTTGTCATAAACAAACAAGGTATAATTCACCTGGATACACGAAGTAGTTGCAATTATATGTACAGTTATACTAACAAATGTCGAAGTTGCAAACCTGTGTTCAGGCGTTAGGATTTGCTTCACTTTCATCATGAAGAGGTTAAAGTGGAACTCCACACAAAAGGGGAAGGCTTTGTCCCTCGTTCCCTGTTAAGGATTGGCACCTTTGGGGAGCGGGGAATCCGATTTTGACAACTACCTGCTCCCACTTTCGCTGCGATCACTTAGGCGATTGGAAGCAGAAGTTGTCCTCCACCCCCCCCCCCCCCCCTTCCTTGTAGTCTTCTGGGACACTTGACAGGACCATTCAGAAAGTGCAGCACTGAAGATGCCAGTGCCGGGGAGAGAGGACAGCTGGTGAAACCGGCTGCAGTGAGGACACCGCTGGATAGAGGGACAGGTGAGTGGCGGTTTTTTACAGTCAGCAGCTAAAGTTTTTTCTGCTGACTTTTTATTTTTTATATTGTGACAGGAGCTCCGCTTTAAGAATGGTGAATGGAAGGTCATAATGAACAACTATAAATCTTTAAATTGAATTGGGTTTTTTTAATTTTTTTCCAAACACATCCCTTTACCTCCCAACAATGTTAGTAATAAAAAGTACAAACTTCAGATTAGATGAATTGGTCCAGACAACAGTTTTTTTCTTCTTAGCCAGCTGATCATAGTACTTGCACAGGCACTACCTGGTTTTATAGACTTAATGTGCTGCCCATACATCAGTACATGAACAGATCTACAGGTACTCAACAGAATCCTAGGAATCCAATATACACATATGCAGTATTATCACACGGAATCCTCCTGCGCTCTTATGTAATATAACAGAGAGAAAAAAATAATAGAGGAATAGATAAAAATATGAAGTACTACAATGCTGCTAACATCTAATCCTATACCAATAGGTCCCAGAAACATAAAAAGCAAAAAATGATGTAGCGCTCATGTAAATACAAACATTAAATAATGATAACCACACAGTGAAAAATACACATGTCACAGATGGTAGATGATTTAGATAAGGGGGGTGTCCCCCAATCCACATGGGGATAATAAATACGTGACCCCTAATCCACAATCAGGGACATAAACAGGTGTTAAGTGAGTCCCTATACCGGGATCAAATGCTTCAGTGTGAGTGAAAAACAGCACTGCAAATCAGTCACAAAACAGTCTAGTGATCTGTGTAGCATTCCTTCTGATCATGCAAATAGAAAGGAATGTATATAAACCAACACACCCTGGATGTGATCCAATAATGGCTGTAATGGCTTCTCTCCTCCACCCTGCGACCCTGCAGGGCCACAGAGCTATATTATTATATATGGGCCTCTCAGCAAGCAGCACTCCTCAGGAAATGGTAACTTGAAAAAGGCTCCCCAGTAATCAGTATCCACCTTTCCAAATTCTCCTTGGGGACCAGTGAGTAGGATGAATCATAACTCAAATCCCCATAAAACAAGAGAAGAGAACATCCTCCATAGTGTAAACCGCTTTATTGTTTAAGGGAAGTAAGTGAAATGCAAACTCACATATGTGCAGCTGTAATCAAAGCATTCCCCCATATGCTGGGTGTAGGCATAGGAAAAAGGTGTTCCAAGATGGCGTCACGCTGGAAGTACGTCACCACGCTGAGCCGTCGACGCGTTGCCAGTTCCTGAGGAGTGCTGCTTGCTGAGAGGCCCAGCGGTGATAATAATATAGCTCTGTGGCCCTGCAGGGTCGCAGGGTGGAGGTGAGAGGCCATTGCAGCCATTATTGGATCACATCCAGGGTGTGTTGGTTTATATACATTCCTTTCTATTTGCATGATCAGAAGGAATGCTACACAGATCACTTGTCTGTTTTGTGATTGATTTGCAGTGCTGTTTTTCACTCACACTGAAGCATTTGATCTCGGTATAGGGACTCACTTAACACCTGTTTATGTCCCTGATTGTGGATTAAGGGGTCACGTATTTATTATCCCCATGTGGATTGGGGGACACCCCCCTTATCTAAATCATCTACCATCTGTGACGTGTATTTTTCACTGTGTGGTTATCATTATTTAATGTTTGTATTTATATATGCAGTATTAATCCCAGACAGCTAGAAATAAAGCAGTATAAACAAAGCTTGGGGAGCCATGAGAATCTGACACATGGACCATTGAAACATCCACAATGATGTCCGTAGCCTTATTATGAATATGGGAGGAGAGCAAGGAGCGACGTTTGAATGAACAATAACACCATTTTAGGTAAACATGTTTTTTTATATGTTTTTATATTTTTTTTATATGTCACTTTAATTTTCAGACTGTGAAAAACAATTCAGGCCTGTGTATTCTGAAAAATATGAGAAGGACGTTGAGTGCGATGTGGCTAAATTGCAGGTAAGTGTCAAACTACTGTATATATATTCAAAAAACAGTCTACACTTCTGACATGTTTCATATTACATCCACATTTAAAGTTAACATAATACATGGTCACATATACCCCCCAAATCTCATGTTGGCCGTTTCAGTTGCCTGAACTGCAAGGTTCTTTACCCAGCATATTCCAGTTTTGTTTTGAATTCAGCAGATACATTCATAGGGATTCGACAATGAAAAGACCACAGATCTTATCTCCACAGAGCAGGTCTCATCTGCCATCGCAGCAAAGAGACTCACAGAACTCATTGGGACACAGGTGCAGTGTGATCAATTCCTCCAGCGCCATAACTGAAGGTCCATACCTCTGTACAGACTTGGGGCTGGTTGAACAGTCTGCAGGTGCGACAATACACAGATTGTGGTCACAGTCCTCTGCAGGCACCAATGCATTTAATAAATGCACATTTTTTACTCTACTGGATTAATGTGGGAGCATTGATTACATTTTTGCAAAAGGTGAACTATGCCTTTAAGCTCTACATATAATACTCTGGATGGGGAAGAAATGCATGGGTGGGTTCTGTTTCAACTTCCTGAAACAATAGTTTGATATGCACATCCTGGCTCACATGCTGAGTACATTTCAATACTGAACTGAAAAATTAGGGTACAAAACATTCATATTGGGGAATTTATACTAATGTGTATGAGTGCAAGATGCAGAGCTAAGCTTTATGCTAATGTTTTAAGATGTTAAAATCCAATGCTAAAGCAGGAACATTACAGTTATTATAGGGTAGTACAATACATTTGTGATAATACTTCAGTAGTATATGCATGGTAAATATAGATAACACGTGTAACCTGATCAATGAATATAATATGATTTAAATGAGACTGAATCATCTGTATAGAAATGCATGTACATCAAAAACAAAAACAAGAGAGGGGAAGAAAATCCTTTGCATACAAGCAGTGTAGAAGGTGACGTGTTTCTGTAATTAACAGGACCTTTGTATGTTACTAAATTCAGTATGAGAGCGATTATATGAACATTATATTCATAAATTCCTGATAGCCAACCTGCAGCCCTCGGAGGCCCGGCAGGTAGAAGTCCTTTCCTAGGTTCCTATTCAGATCAGTGAAGAAAAATATTCTTTAGACTTAGTTCCAGTAGTTAAAGAGTAACTCAGTGGCAAGGTTTGGTGTCATCAGGTGCGGTAAAACATGGTGTCAACCCCCCCCCCCCCCCCCCGCCAATAATTTTTTTCCAGTCTTTTGAAAGTGCTCCAAAGATGCAGCATGGGGGACTTGTGTGCACTTTCAGAAATTGCAGGAAAAAAAAAACATTCAACCTAATAGAAATCTATAGGACTGCAGCTGTGACTGTCTAAAATGCAGGAAAACTGCAGATACACCAGCAATGTGTCCAAGCCGTAGCCAACCAGTGTGAACCCAGTTAAAAGCACAAACATACGCTGATGGCACAATTCTAAACGCTTTGGCTGCACTGATAACAGCTACTGCTGGAGGATAAAGTAAGATAGAGGGGGAGAGAGAGAGTTTTGGAGGAAAGAAGGTAGGCAGGGAGAGGGGAGATTCGGGTCACAGTGCTCACATTTGGATGGTCTCTGGATACTCATCACTCAGTCAGAGTGAGCCAGTATTCACATTGGATCTGTCGGCTACTGTTCCCACCCCACACATCTCCTTCACTGCACTGCACAGGCTGCATAAAGTGTGGGTGGGCAAAGAGGAGAGGTGCGGAAGAAGGCAAAGCAGATCCAGCCTCTCTCCTCTCCCATTTATGCAGGGGGAAAACTGTGCACTGTGACACTGTAATAACCACTGTGCCAACACAGGTGCAGCCAGCCACCCCTACATTACAAGCAGCTATGAATAAGGTCTGTGTTTAGACTGAAATGCGTTAGCATAAGTTTGCCACAGAATATTTTTACTCCTTCATGCAATAAAGAGTGCTTTTGTATTCACCTGTTGCCGACATTTTTGGAATTGGACTTGTACTTATAAGCAGATGGAGACTGCTAGTTAGGCATGGTGAGCTTATATGCTCTAAGCCTAATACATTTGATAGGTAGTAGCAACCCACTTCTGTTTGGATTTGCAGCTACATTTACAAACAGCTTCTCCTGTCCCACGGACGTTTTTGGACAGGAGAAATTGGGTTCTTACTGGCATCTAGGCAGACCTGAGTGTCACCCATCTGGCAGGTCCATCCTCACTCCCCCCGCTACCCCCCCCATAGCGACGCCACTGGAGTAAGTCCACTTTTGTTGTGAAAACAATCCCCTCTGGGTGATCAGTGTACACATTTTGTTACAGCTTCCCTTTTGTTTCTGCTCTAAAAGTAAAAGCTGTTTGCTCTTCTATGTCTTTTGGATACTAATTCTGAATGGGAGTGACTTTTTCCATTATTGATCAGTTGATGCATTCGTAGTGCTCTTATGAGGAAAGCTGAAAGGTCTGCATCCCTTTAGAAGTGATCAACCCTTTAGGTGTCTCTTCAAAAAAAATTAATTTGCCTAAATTCTGACTTGTATCTTAGTGCACATTTCTGTGAAAATCAGTGAGCCAATCATATAAACAGGAAATTAAATTTCTGGAGGCATTCTGTGTACCAACTGTGTACAAAACTCCTACAGGTAGTCATATTTTATTGAATTTTACATGAAATTAGAGTGCTGCAGATTAGTTACCCATTAAGTGATGTGATTTAATTATTTTACACTATCTTACTTTTTTCTGTGTTGTTCATCCCTTTTCTCTTTTAATTTTTTTTAATTTTTGGCTGTTATTTATTTTTTTGGCTGTATGGAGCACAAATGTGGAATGATTGATTTGTAAATGGGCTATAAAAGCAGTGATCTCTAGCTATCTCTTATAAAAAAATTCTAGTCTATGACTGTCTCTTGAACCATGGTCCCAGTTTTAACAACTTGAGGCCCCATATATCAAAAATACTGACCACCATGTCTTTGAATGAAGATGAAGCTATACAATTATGTTAAAGTTCAGTTTTACATTGGTGGCACTTTCTTCCACTGCTTAGTTACAGGTGTTATACTTTGGTTGCTATTTAATAACTTTAATATTATATGTCCTGTGCAGTAATTTTATAGACTGGGTGATATTTTTGCAACTATACTGTAAAAAGAGTGCATTGAAGGTTAAAAAGACAAAGCCTTTGTTTGGTTTGGCTTTAAATAGAGTTGTGTACACTGGACAAAAAAAATTCTGGACTAAGCAAAAAAAGCTACCAAACATAATGTCAGGTGGCCAAAAGTAATGTAGGCATAATGTGCTGTCTCAGTATTTTTCATAAAATTGTGGCAATTGACAATACAGTGCAAAGGAATTACCGTATTTTTCGCTCCAAAAGACGCACTTTTTTTCCCCCAAAAAAGGGGGGAAAATGTCTTTGCGTCTTATGGAGCGAATATAAAGCGGCCGGTCCGGTATTTTTGCGGCCACATGTCAGAATGTTAAAGGGCCGGCCGCTCAGTGTTTCTCCTGCAGGGCCTTTGGTGTTCCTCGCTCCAGCGCTGCACAGTCTTTCCCGCGCCACTTCTGTGACAGCTGGGTGCCCACTGCGCAATGTGCTGCGCTTTGTGAATGATCCGGTGTCTTCTGGGACACATGAAAGGTCCCAGAAGGCGCCCGGGCCATTCACAAAGAGCAGCGCTTCTCGCACATGCGCAGTGGGCACCCGGCTGTCACAGAAGCCGGCCCGGAAAGAAGAGGGAAGGACAACTCCGCGGAAGTGGGAGCAGGTACCTGTCAAATTCAGGTACCCGCTCCCCCTAATATTATGGTGTCCCTTCACTGTCTGCAGTCTTTGGTCATTCCCTGCACTGTCCGCAGTCTCTGGTCATTCCCTGCACTGTCCGCAGTCTCTGGTTATTACATTGGTCCGCAGTCTCTGGTCATTCCCTGCATGTCCGCAGTCTTGGTCATTCCCTACTGTCCGCAGTCTCTGGTCATCCCCTGCACTGGTCAAAACCCCTGCACTGTCTCTGGTCATTCCCTGCACTGTCCGCAGTCTCTGGTCATACTGTCCGCAGCCTCTGGTCATCCCCTGCACTGTGTCCGCAGTCTCTGGTCATCCCCTGCACTGTAGTCTCTGGTCATCTCCTGCACTGTGTCCGCAGTCTCTGGTCATCTCCTAAAAAGACATCCCCTGCACTGTGTCCGCAGTCTCTGGCCATCTCCTGTTTGGTTTGGCTTCCTAAATAGTACTGTGTCCACAGTCTCTGGTCATCTCCACAGTGTCCGCAGTTCAAAAATCTCCTATACTGTGTCCGCAGTCTAAGTCATCTCCTGTACTGTGTCCGCAAAATCTCCTGTACTACCAAAGTCTCTGGTCAATGTACAGGTGGGTAATGTAGGCATAATTGCTGCTCAGAATATTTTTTTTTTTCTTGTTTTTCACCTCTAAAATTAGGTGCGCTTATTGGTCAGGTGCGTCTTAGTGCAAAGGAATTAAATAGCACAGTTTTGACATTCTTGTGATGCTGCAAAATAGTTTATTTTAAAATTGTTGCCTCCTAATTTTCAAATGTGTGTCATAATCAAAAGATTTCTCATGTATAGTATAAATTATAATTCATTACATAGTTACATAGTTAGTCTGGCCAAAAAAAGACAAAAGTCCATCCAGTTCAACCATTAAAAAAAAAAAAAAAAAAAGTTATAATCCTACACCCACAGTTGATCCAGAGGAAGGCAAAAAAAACCAGAAAAAACATGATCCAATTTGCTCCTGCAGGGGAAAAGAATTCCTTCCTGATCCCCCCAGAGGCAATCGGATATTCCCTGGATCAACTTTACCTATAAATGTTAGTATCCAGTTATATTCTGTGTATCTAAGAAAGAATCCAGGCCTTTTTTAAAGCAATCCACAGAGCTGGCCAGAACTAACTCTTAAGGGAGTTTATTGCACATTTTCACAGCTCTTAAGAAAACTTTCCGTGTTTGGAGATTACATTTCTTTTCCT